AAACGATAATTAATACCTTAATGCCCGAAAGCGACAACTGATGCAGCTACACAGAGTATGCTCTACTCGCTGATTCTAATCAGTATCAGTATCAGTATCAAAAGCGCCGTCTAAGTCTCGTTGCAGCATATCGTAATCGTCATCACAGTTGATTGCCCTCCATATCTTGATATCATCGGCAAAAGCAGGAAATTAATTTGATGACACCCGCAAGATCGTTAACGAGGAACAAGGATATCCGCGGCTCCAACCCTGACCCCTGTGGAACACCGCAGTCCACACCAATTTGATCAGAAAATGAACCTCGAACTTGAACCTGAAGGCGCTGCTGAAAAAGGAAGTTTCCGATCCACCCAGGGACAGGGTCTGTAACTCCGTATGCTTGCAGCTTTTGCAGCGGGATGCGGGGATTTATGCGGTCAAATGTTTTGGAAAAGTCTAGCTAGATGATTTCAATGCCGGTCCCATTCTCGGCTATCTCAATCCAAGTGCCACGGGCAAGCAGTAGGTTGGTAGTACATGATTGATGCTGACGGAATCCATATAGCTTCGGTGCTGTAAGGCTTTTCAAAGCAGCCCATTACAGTCACAGCTATGCTCGATTCCATCACCTTAGAAAGCACCGGGAGGAGAGTCACTGGGCTATAGTTGGCTGAATCGGAACGGCTGCCACTTTTGAAAATCGGGGTAATGATGCCTTGCTTTCACATGTTAGGGACCTGCTGTTCGTCCAGGCATCTCTGGAAGATTCTGGTTAATGGTTCGTCTATCTTCGTAGCTGCCACCTGCAGTGCTTTGGGTGGAATGTTGTCAACTCCAGGGGAACTATGGGTGCGCAACGATAGCAGCTTCCTCAAAATAGTCGCTGAACTAAAAGTGACGTGTGTAAAGACTGATATCTTGTGGAATAGGACAGGTTTGCTACAAATGTTGCGAGCACGTCAGAAAATTATGGCATATTGTAGCCGTAGAAAGTTGGTTGCATCCTAGGCGGTTTGAGCACATCCATCTGTTGATATTCGTCGGGGAACACCACGTTTCACATTCCAGAGGCTGTTCACATGTCTGCACAGAAGCTTTTCGTTAATACAAAACTTCCGCTAGACTCCGCTGGCGTACTAATTTATCCTCGCGCACAATTGTCGTAAAGTGATTACGATGCATAACATAGTTACTCCAGTTGTCAGGGCTAGGGTTCGCTTTATATCGCCCGTCACGCAGCGTCTCTTACTGTCATGTGTTTTCGGCTTTTGCTCCGAATGTATGAGTGTGACCTTGCAGAACGAAGGGACTTGCTGATTGATGCAGATAAAATCCGATCACTGAACTTGCCAGTACAATCCAGCAAGGCGCTGTCAATCGAACAGTCATCCGGAAACTCCCACCTGACACCTCGCACAAGTTCTGCTAGTATGTCGTATTGGATGATTGTTCGATACAAGTTAGTATGTTCTTGCGGATACTCCGCATAACACACGAAATCGTAACTTATGGTTACGTGGTCACTTCGCCCCAAAGGGCTCTCTAGCCTTGGTTTCTCAACCATGAGCTCTTCTTTCGTGAGTACTAACTCAAGCACAGGTAGTTTATTTCCGGCTCTGAATCGGGTGGGTGAACTGACATCGCTGAAGAGCATAATGCGTGCAATATAATCTTGCAGGTCGGACTTAAACTCCACATTGTGTGATGCCGGAATTTTCAAATCAGGAAGATTGAAGCCACCTGAGATGAGAAGCTGACTGTATCCTCTTCGTAAGACTCTTCCCTAGGATAATGCTAGGCGGGAGTACATCACTTGGTTGGACATTAAGGGACAATAAACAACAACCGAAAGGCAAGTGTCGTTGCGTCTCAGTCGCAGACTACTCCAGATTGAGTCTACGGTCAGCGTATCCAGATCGGTCACCGGTTCGCTCTACAGGTCGTTGCAGTAGTATACCAATACCCGTCCGCCTTTGCTAGGCTGATCGTCTCGGAGAAAGGACTTACCATTTATTGCGATTTCAGCATCGGTAATTTGGAGTGAAACCAGGTTTCCGTAAGAAGGATGAAGTCCCAGGCATCTGACGCTTGACGTAGCCGCAGTTCGACAAACTTGTTCAGGATATCTTATGCATTGGTACAAATGCAGGAAAGTTTTCGTTTTTAGCAATAACTCGTGGGGTGGGTGTTTTGGATAAAATGTTATGCCGACCGATAAAAGGTCGGAAACTAATCATTTTTTGGATGGGGATGAAGAACTCATCTGTGTCCGATTCACGGATCCTACCATTACCTCTTTACTTCTCCCTTTGTATATAATGTATGGCGCGTGTTTGCCCGTTTCGTTGGCTAGTTGATTAAAGTTATCCGAAATCTTGTCGGTAAGTGGTCTGACTAAGTGGTTGCTCTCGTATGTTTGCTTGGCAGATGCTGCTTTGATCCGGAGCTCGGAAGGGAGGGTGCTGCGGCCCGCATACCAGCCATCCACTACAATTGCTTATATTTGTCTAGATTAATGGACTACTCCCAATCCTCGGGCCACACCCCTTGTAATTTTGCGATCGGCGCAACCTCCTGATTGATTGCGCTATTACGTTTTCCAAGAAGAGGGTCTGGCGAATGTACTGCCATTGCTCCTGGTGGTGATTGGTCGCTGCGTGCTCATCATGACTTCCAGCCTGGGAAATACTGTGACAAGGATGGTCCTGGCTACGAATTCCTTCCGGTTTTTGTCTAAGTAGTGTTTCGTCCATCTGCGCTCGCACCACGGAATATCCGGAAATAGGCAGATGGAACATGACCCATTCCGGAGGCTCGCTATTGATAACAGGATAGCACCTTCTTCATTGGCATAATTCAGCACAACTCCGAGAAGTCCTTGGTTCACCTTTGTGCTGTGATTTGGGCGATGGGTAACGAGTGTCAGCTTTACGGGTTTAGTTACAACACCTATACTGTCACACATAGAATTCCACTGATTCACGTCATCGAGTTGTTTTCCTTTTAAGGAATTTACCGTCGATTCTGGAACCTTGGTGCAGATTACCGCTGTTATATTACCTGCAACTCTATTTGTGGTCAAGCTACCAGACAGTCTGTCTACAGTCGACAGTGGCTGTTTGGGTACGGATTGGTCTTCTTCATTTATTATGGGTCCAACAGGAGTAGCCGAAGATCTAGGTTGCCGGTCACCTTTGTCAGCAAGCAAGTTCCAAACACCCCCTGGTGTCAAAACCCTTCTGAATTTCTGGAACCGTTTGCAGGGTGGACGAGACTCTGACCATGCTCATTGCAATCGGACTGGTGGCGCTTATTGCAAGTATATTTGAGCAACTGGTAGTATTGGCGTTTAATGTCACAGATGTTTCATTTTTAGTAAGTTGCCTAGACTTCTTCCGCAGTTATATTACAGTGCTGGATGAATATAACTGGGACTTACTCTCTGTCACGCTTTCTAGCAATGAATCGCTTCAAATATTGCAACCAGTCTTTCTTAACTCTGCAACAGTTCATGTACAATCTTTACTAGTGGGATGACTATACATACTGAATAGAACCACAGTGAATCAAGTTTATTACTGTGTAGCTTCAACTGGATTACTGTGAGCTTGCAACGTTTGCGCTGGAACTTACGTTGGCAACTGCTAATTTGAACACCGATCCGTACATTTTAAAGCATGAAGGAAGGCCACAAACTACTGTCGATCTGGATGCGGTATCATGGGCTTTTGATGGGTCGCCACGATCCATTGCGTGGGTAGATGGTAATCCCAGAGAGGCCCGAGCGCTTACGGTTTCCTGTCGGTCGCATGTGCGCTGAATTCTCTGCGTGTTTATGGTCGTCCCGTTCTGTGCGTTTGGTCCAGGCAATGCAGGATCAAGCGGCTAGATGGTTTACGCGGCAAACAAAGCGACTGAGCGATACAGACACAACGTCTACGATGGCTAATTTGATGATCGGTATACAGCTGTGGTTGCTGATTCGTCAGATAAGAATTGTAGTTGGCTTTCGTTTGAGAGCACAAATATTTCTGTATGTTTCTTGATTTGGAAAATTCCTCGATTATGTTTTTTCGGGAATGACACAAAAAGCGCTATGTGGAGATAAAAGACGATTCACGCGAGCTGGATCCGAAAGATGGAGTGCAGTAGATAGCTCAGATGAATCTGGGTCGAATGAGTGTGAACACGCGTTTGTGTGGCAAAATACAATTTCGGACGGCACTGTGTAACAACTAGGTAAGAAATTATGATGTCAAAGTTGAATAGCCGGATATTTATTTGCAAATATACATTTTTCCACTATCTAGTTTTGCTAGTACAGCCAAGCTATAAGGGTAAATCGAATCATGCGAGAGCGCCGCGCGGCGACTCTGCTTACGTCAAGCCCACGTGGCGCCAGTCAGCCGAATGGGGAAGTCCTGCTCTATCTGTAGTCATGGTTGTTTGAAACGGCAAACCAGAAGTTTTGGTTGAGTTAGGTATTTGTTTTTGTTTGCTAGTTAGATATTCGCAGTTTCCTTCGCTTCTCAGTGATGTTTATTGCTTAACTCCACAGCGGGGCACAGTCGTACTTGGATTTTTTTGGTTAACTTCATTCAGTTGGCTTGGTACCACCGGTCTCAGACTGGAAAAAGCGTGTAACCGCCAACTAAGTGACGATAAAGCTTGCGGCAATCTGTTGCCGCGTTGCTTCACCTACGCGAAGCAATAAATAACAGCCATCAGAAATTCAACATCACCTGGCCCACAGAATACGCTGTATAAGCGCGCAGGTTAGGAAGTTGAATTGAACACAGTTGTCGGTTTGCGCGACCTCAAAGATATGCACGGCTGATGCGTTCACAGTGACAAAATGCTCTTCGTGCTTGAGCCCAGAATTTCGCCTGGTACAGGGTGTGGTTATTTGTGGATTGATTACGTATTTCATTAATTCATTTGATTTCATAGCTTGATAAGGCACCGACAAAGAGGTTGTCTTCAAACCTTTGCTTTTATCTCTTAATTTTGTTCTTCAGCTGTTGCAAAAGTCAACATTCGGCTTGGTCCTCGGATCCTCGTTATTCTCAGAAATAAAGGATGTCCAACCTGGCGACCTGTCGTTTCAAATGCAGTTATTACTCTGTCTGAAATCCGGCTCAATTCCTGTGGTCATCGGTGAAGCTGCGTTTCCGTTTCCCAAGGCCATCGGGGAAGCACAGTGGCATCACGCCGTGCTTCTATTGTCCACTGAACAGATCGATCAAATGTTACCGTTTCTAGGTGCTATATCTGTGGCTAGGATAGAAGAAATGAGAAACCACGTAAGTGACAGTATCGCTTCCCCATTCGTTCCGAGAAGCTAGCATATTTGAGTAAATTGGCTGTTGGTCATTACTTAATAGTGAGCATTTTGTTTGATGCAAGTGTGTCTGTGGCACACACACAAGTCAACACGCCTAGGCGATATTTGTGCTAAACGCAGGTGGCTAACTATGCTCTCACGCATAAGTCTTCGAGTAGCACCTAAATATGCAAAGTGGTCATGCTTTTCACATACGTGGACGACGAAGTCGATGCCTCTCGCACACGCTATCGAATAGTAATAGCCTTGCGAAGACATTCGTTGAGGTTCTGGTATTACATGGGTAAGTTGGTTTGCTGAAAACTCAGTTGATCTCCGGTATTTGCGACAGTGCGTGTCAAAGTACATTGCAATCGAAAAACGGTATCAACGTATCTTGTTACGACTGCAAGAGGCTGCGAATACTCTAAACTGGATCGCGTTTAACCGGCATATGGGCCGTTCTGTGCAAGTGGCTCAGGGCAACGTACATAAATACTTCAAGGGGTATTACATCAATGACGATTTGTCTGTTAATACTCGTTAACGGAGTTAGCTTTTTATAGAGCCTTTGATACTATGACGCATTCTCAGCCACCTAACAGAATCATTCGGGAAATACTATGGCAAACTTAGATATGAATAAAGACGATGATCATAATGCGAAACAATCTAGCACAACTGCGAAAAGCATATAGCGCAATTTGGAGTTTATCCAGTGAGCTATCGCGATGGTGCAGTGTAAATTACTTGGAAGAACTCCTCAGGGGGTCCTTAATCAAAATGGATTCCACAATATTAAGATAAAAGGAGCGTGCACTGTCATAATTACAAGTTACTGAGATTGCTAGTGTTATATATTGCCATTAGCGCTTTCAAGATAGCTAATAAAAGGTCACAGAGAAAAGTACCAAGAAATTGGATCTTTCACACGATGATCTATGGAGCAGCTGGACATAAGAATGTAAGGAATAACATGAAATCTGGAAAAGCAAACTTCTTGCTTAACCTTCTACATAGTAACCTCGCGTTTCGTCTACCAAACCAGTAATGATGTTGAGCACCAAATATTCTAACACCGCTAAACATTAGGAAGAAAGACAACATCTGAACACAGCGCCTTAACTCTTCCAGTCTAGGGTTTTAAAACATACACGGTTTTGCGAGCAATGCAACGCTTTCGGGGGATCCGTACGGCGTAGTGCGTACAATGGTAATGCTGGTCGTCATTCCGTTAAGCTATGTAAGATTAACGAGTGGGTTTCTTTCAATACGTTTGGGTTTATGACGAACTGTTCCAAGCCGTCAATGTTTACCTAGCAATCTCAACTTACATGCCAACAACTTTGACAGCAGCACATATGAGGTGAAAAACCTCAGACGTCGTCACCGCGGGTAATATTCTGAGTAGTAATACACCGCTCACACTGTATGTCGGCGAACTCAGGTAATTCATCTGATTAACATTAGACCAAGTACCTAACGTGCTGCACTCACTATGACTCTACGCACTGGGCCTTTCTAGCTGGTCTAAGTTTGATGTTTTATGGCCTCATGGGAGGATGATCACTGCCTATTTTTATTCATTGATGCATGTGTTGCAGATTGTTTTCGGTTTCTTCAATCAGACAGTGTATTTAATAGCTGTCACTTCTGTTGTCCAGAAACAGTGGCTGCTATAGTATCATTAGCAGAGAGGTAGGAAGTAACGGCCAGAGACGCTCTGTGCAGTACACTTTCTCTGTTGAACTATAAATTGCCCAACAAACGTGGGTAGCACGAAATCACATAGTACGCAGACGTTTAATTGGACACAGGGAAGATTCGGATGTAGACTAATAGAGCTTCTCTGTTGCGTAAACGCGAGAAGTCCATTAGGCGATGTAGGTACGCCCAAACAAAATCGACTTCGATTTGCACACAACACCAACAGTTAATCTTCTCTTTTCAATCCCAAAATTTCTATTGCAATCCAGAGCACTGGTACTAGTAGTTTATTTTGCAATCGATGGGAGTCGAATGGGTTCCGTGGCGCGCGCTCTGTACCCTCCTACTGCTGCAGTAGTGTTTTGCATTCGGTGTGTAATTTGCTCATGGTCACGTACAATGCACCGTTATAGACACGACACCATTGGCTGAACATACCTAGTTTGCTTGTTTTCAAAGTGTCATTGCGTGTGACAATCCAGTTACAACACTTATGCTCCAAAATCCAAGCACTTTGTCCCAAAGCGCTATGAAAAGCACTGCTAGAGAGGCTGGATAACATACTGGCGCGAGAGACTAAGGGAAATCCTGGACTGCGGTTTCATTTTCAGTTCGTTAATTTATTTTGATATGTTCCAAAAGACGACATCAGTCTTGACAAATAGCGCCGAGAAAGAGATACACATATGTATCTGTGCGTTCCGTTATACCAACTTCCGTCTTATGTACGACATAGCATACGAAGGCACAATAACTACAAGGCGCATCCATTTTATCCTATGTGAATGGTGAGTTGTGTCCGTTCATCACCTCTCGTTTGGGATCAAAATTCTAGCTCGTTACAAGTTAACTGACGTGACTAAGCAAAGAGAAGCACTAGCATCCCACAGGGTCGAGCGATTTGTTAGGGTAGAGAACAATCTACACTCTAGTACCTTGTATGGTCTCCACTTCTGTCCGCCAGGCTGTATGGCTGTTAAACAAGTAAATTGCACGGGATTTCATTTGGTCAGGTGCAAATGCACTTTTGTGGGTTCGAAATGATCAAAGCCGCAGAAACAAAGGTACTCGGGTTCCTCCAGTCAGCGTGGGACATGATTTAAAATAGCGCGACTCAGAATGCTACGAACTTGCCACAATGCACACTGGACAACGACTTTATACTGGTCTTGAAGCACTGCATTAAAAGCCCCGCGGAGTGGTTTGGTGGGTAATAGAAAAAAGTAAATAAAAAAAGTAGTTAGTAATATTCCGGTTTAAAGCGCATATAATTTTTGATGCAGTAGCCCTACACTTCGCGTGGTTTCACTGTTCCAGTTGGCGGCAAATAATAAGTCTAAGGTATTTCACGGGATTAGAATAGACAGATGGTAATTGATAAGAAAGGGTAAGCAGATGACCGCGTCATTCAAATCACGTAATTATGACCCTTGACGTTGTAGATACGACCGATTCAGTTCCAGCGTTCCACGCTTGACCCAGGCACGTCGGAAAGAAATTTCTGCGTTATTATAGACGGCTGTTCTGAAGTGTTAGTTTCAAAAGTGACCTCACAGGTTTGCGTTACTGCTGAGTTGCGGTACGGATAGAAACACAATAAGTAGATTGTACTGAATCAAGTAGACCATTATCAGGTCACCTCGCAATTGGCGACACCGTCCACTGTATACTCCCAAACCTTTCGGCCTTTGCTTCTATGGGAGATTGCACATTCCAATGACAAACGTGGATGCCCGATCTTAAGGCTGCTCCAAAGCATTGGGTTCATATTTCAACCACGGAAGTCAGGCTAGGATTGCGTATTCGACATGGGGGCGAACATATGTACTGAGCAGGTGTCGAAAAATGGAGTTATCTATCAGTCCGAACCCCCGTCTCAACAGACCAGCGGGTTGGTTACCAAATTTTGATGCCTTAGCTGTTTAGCTAAAACAACCAAGGTCATTCAGAACATGTAGGCCTGAGCCGCGTTCGACGGAAGACCGTCGTAGTACTTGCTTCCCTAGCCAATTTGAGAAGTTACTGTGGTATGGATAGTATTTTACATTTGCTCACAAAGGATTGAGGTACCTTTTAGATGTACCACGGATGTACCGTGTTTAAATCACTCGAAAGCAGATGTTGGTCGATGTTTTCCTTACTCGTGCGCCAAATCCAAATGTCATGGGTAAAAGGTAGGAAATCCGTAGCGTTTGCCTGTGCAACGTAATTAAAAAGTACTAAGAACATTCGTGCCCCTTGAATTGATCCGTGCATTGGCAAGGATATATATACTAACCCAGGGCATGTGGTTCTCAAGTTGGTGGTAATTACCTCTAAATGAGTGAAATCTACTTTAACGTGGGGTAAATATAAGTGCGCAGATTGGATCATCAAGCTGTCGCCGAACGAAATTACTAACCAAACCATATGGGTCAAAGCACGTAACACGCTACCTAATCACTCTTGATTAGCCATTAGTTAGTAATAGTTAGAGTGGTCAGTGGACTAGACTAATTTAGATATTATACTTTATTGCCCTATATACGTATACATGACTGCAAAGCAGCGCATCTAAATGGCTTCTCTATCGGCTCGCCGGGTAGCATTACAGCGTTGAGTGAACACTAAGCTGGGAGCATAGGTCAGCGGACCAGATGAAGGAGCGGTCGAATGTTGACAACGTAGAAGGGACAAAACGGACGACTAGTGTTCAACATGTATCGATACAGTGTGGTGTTGGGAACTCGTCATCCAATACGGAGTAGGAAGTGACGGTTGAAACAGTTGAGAAGCCACTGATATCTGTTCATATTTGACCAGGGATCACACACCATAGTAATGAACCGAATGAACTTGGAGCACGACTTAAGATGTATAGTAACCGAAATCGCACCAAAGCTGCCAGAAAACGTTGAAACAAATCAATATCAAGCGCCTCATTAGCGTAAGTCACAATTTTAGTCAAGAAAAATTAATGAAAAATAGGTAGTTTCTATATTTATATGATCGAAGGTAATTAATAATAATATTCATCCCCTGTCAAAGTAACAATGCAATAATTTCTAGTTAATATGCTTGTGAAACGAAAAATTTGGTGGGGGGCAATTGTTGTGGAGAACCCCCTTTGTGGGTAACAAACACAAAAGTTGAGAACCACTGCCCTAGACAGTATATGGAGAACAAATCCAAGGTGGTAGTTTGAAGCCTCAGTCCTTCTTCCGCCTCTGTGAATCGAAGTTATTATTCTGATGTACCCTAATGCAGGAAGCTGGTTCTGGTTCAAGTAGTGCT